GAACCTTGAACCTTGAACTAAAGCTCGGTGGGTCGACTCACCTGCTCTGATTGGCTGCTGTAGATGGTGCTGATGATGAGTTGGCACTGGGTCCGGTGGTGGGGACAACCTCAGGTGGCTTACAGCTGGTGTTGGGTCCCGGGGGCCCCATGCCCTGCCCGGTGGCCTGCGGCATGCTAGGTGAGGTGGGGGCCAATGTGCCTCCTCCTGCAGGGTAAGGCCGCCCACCCACACCGGGCCCGGGGCCAGGACCACGGCCCGCTGGGGTGGACGGGCCCTGGCCGTGCATGGGACTGCTGGCGTTCAAGCCCAGGCTGTTGGCCAGGCTGGAGCCCGCGCCCAGGCCCGGCCCGCCATAATGCGGGGGCCGCGGGTAGTTACCTGAGTAGGACCAGACAAGTTATCAGAGATGCAGTGAGAAGTTAGAAAACAAAGTGTTTTTGTGATTTAACCTACCTGGAGGGCCGTACTGCCCATAGGAGTGGCCGGCCTGCTGGTAGGAGCTGTGGTGCATCGGCCCCCCCGGCCCTGGGTGAGGGGTCATTGACGAAGAGGACTGCTGGGACCCAAACTGAGACCCAGAGGTGCTGCGCTGCATGGTGGGTGGGAAACCTGGAGATGAAGATAAAGGTGGTGGGGGGAAGGGACAGGGTTAGCCTAGCAGTAGCTTAGCTAACATGACAGACTGTAAAAACTCAGAAACCATGAACCTTAAACCTCATTTAACCTCAGACGCTCACATACAAAGATTTAAAATGATTGGTTAATCTACAATAACTCAGTTGTACTGGTGACTTGTACCTCTGTCCTGAGTCATGGCAGACTGGGAGGAATGGGGACCAACATCTGGACCAGGACCTGAGACCTGAGGGGGCATCTGAGAGCCTGAAACAAACAGAGTTGTTACTCCACAGGAACATCAAACGCATCATAGGACCTTGTGATAACACTCATAACTGTGCTCCCACCTGGTCCGCTGGTGGCGGGGGAAAGAGGTCCGGATCGCGATTGGCTGCCAGAGGCAGCGGGGGACGGGGAGGGGGAGGGGGAGGGTCCGGTGCGAGGTGGCGGAGGGAGGCGAGGGGAGACGTGCGGGGAGAATGGTGAACGGGCTGGAGTCCCCTGGTCGCCCTGAGCACTGCCGGAGCCCGATCCCCCCGAACTCACCACCGCCTCTGTGCCAGTGGGCAAATCATCGATGGAGCCGGAGAGGTCCTGAAAGACAGCACAGAGCAGCAGATGATAAAACACCTGTTGGACATTTTTCACACTTGTTACCTGTTTGATTCAACGCAAGTGACTTCTAAGGACAGAAAACGGCCGAGTGCTTTAAACTGAAGACACAACCTCAGCTGACTTCTGTGATTTATGATCAGAGTTTAGTCTTTTCCGACAAAACCTGCCACACAGTAAACTGACAGAAACTCATATGTACCTGCACTGAGTGAACAACCACAACTAGCAGCTGTTCTGATGCACGTTGGACTTTAGCTTTCTGTTTTATTTCTTACTCGTCTTCTGGTGAATCGTTACAGCCGCTGCTGTTCGGTAAATGACATCAGTAACACCCTCACAGGAGGATCATTGACCGCTCTTTGGTGCCGGCTCGTAAACGCCTCCTTCAGCAGACGCCATAATAAGGCAAGGAGGTGGAAACGTCCCAGCTGTAGCACATTAACCTCAAAGCAGCAGAGCTGAGTGGAAACTGCTCTGAGTCTGCAGCTTCTGAAGGAGCGAACGTCACGGCAAACCTCGAACAGAGAGGTCACCATGGACCTTGGTGCAGAGAAAATGGATTTCTAGCTGAGCTTCATCTGTTTTTGATTAACAAGAGCTGACTGTAAGTCATGTACAGAGGTGGAAAAAACCTGAATATTCACTCGTTAGTGTACAAAATTGCAAAAACTACAAGGAGGAACTACTCGCCAAGAATTAAAGTTTTTTTTGGCTGACTAAAAAGAGGAAAAATCAAAAAGGCTGAACATGAACCTACAGCCAAACACAGCACTGAGGAAAGATTCAAATGGCTGCATCTGTGAGTCTGATTGGTTCAGAGCAATGTAACAGCTGTCATTTGTAAAAACGAGGGTTCATGTGCACACCAAAGAAGGAACGTTACACCCCAGTTGAAACCTGCCGAGTCTCCTCATTTCAGTCCACCGAAAGAGTCATTTGGGGCTCAGCGGACAGGTGTCATTAACACTGGACACCCTCACCTGAGAAAGCACCTTTGGATGTGTCCCAAAGCCTGCTGGGCTCTCTGGATAGTTGTAGCACAGCTATTTTAAGGTTTTTCTTCTTATAAGGATTTATTATTAGTCCCAGTCTCTTATTACAAACCTTTGCTGCCATCAGCACGAATCATGCCAGCTAAAAGCAGGTGAACTGTGTTGTCTTAAATGCAATCTGGCCTCACAGCTCTGCTGTTTTCAGACTTTCATTAAGTTTTTCTTAAAACATGAAGGCTACGCCAACTCCTCCACTGTCTGTGCTCCACATCTCCACAGTGTCAAATTCAGCCTGGCTGTTTTTGTTTGTTCTTGGAGGAAAAATGTGAGTTCTTTGTGGAAAATGTAATTTATCAGGAGAGGCTGAGTCCGTAGAGTAAACAGAGGACTGAACTTTAAAGCAGAAACACATCAGTAACAGAAATAAAAGCAGAGCACCGAGCGGCTGAGAGAAAGAACAGGGAGGAGCAAGCGGAGGTGAAGGAGCCGCCACGGAGCGACGTGCTGCAGGTCGGTGATTTATGGCCGTAATTACCCTGTTTCATTAAAGCCTCGCAGGCTCTGATTGGATGAAGAGAATTTTCCGACCTCATCGCTCATTCGGAGTTTTCCTGCAGAGAGAACAACACGCTTCTCTTTGTTTCTCCAACAGGAGCGAGCCCTCTTCCTCCTCCTCCTCTAACAGACAGCACCTCCCTGAAACAGGTTCTCCATTAAACAGCGATGAACACCGCCGGCGTCATGTGATCACACACCAGAACAGAAAGAGTCAAACATGGAAAAGTGCAGAGGTGCGCTCCAATCATCTGATTGATTATGGGGATCAATTTTAGAGCAGCTCACGTTTCATTTTTAAATCTAAGTACTAATTGATGATTGCAAATTATGTTTTTATTGTTGATAATAAATCGGATTAATCACCCAGTCCTACTCAAAAGTTTAAACATTTTAAAACAGAAAGGGACCAGTTCGTGAGTCTGAACGACAAAAAAGATTAAAAACTGTGAAGCTATCTGGCAGAAACAAATCTGTAGACGTGGACCCGTCTCTTCTTCTCTGTCAGTGTTTCTGTCACGTATGTCTTTCAGAGAATTAGGGAAGCGTGTCCTTGTTCACTGCTAGGTCAAACCCATTTACAGGCGTCAAGCGTTCTTTTCTTCATTTCAGACTGAGCAGACACGGAAAAATGAGCAACCGTCAGCAAAAAACAAACACATTTTGGATTTCTGTCACTGAAACATTGGGACTGAACATCGCCGACTCTGAACTGAAGTCAACTTATTAAAGAATCTGCGAGGCCTTCGGGTGCAGCTGATTTCTGCTGATTTTCTCTTCCTGCAACAGAGCCTTCATCTTTCCACCAGTAGTCGCCATGGCAACTGCATCAGCAGCACGACTTCAAAAGGAGGCTCCAGAAGATAAAGAGGAAAACAGCGAGTGAGGGGTGATGAGGCACAGCAACAGAGACAGAGAGGAGAAGGAGAGAAAAGGAAGGGAAGGAGGACAAGCGAGCGTGAAGGAAAGAGGCGAAGGCAGTGATGGAGATGGGTGGAGAGGTTGAAGCAGAGCTGCAGCTGAAGGTGGGGAAATTAACAGACTGAAATCATCGAGTGGGATGAAGGTGTGACGTGAACTGAAAGTCACACATTGGTGTTCCTCAAGGCTCCATTCTGGCCTCACTGATGTTTCATAATGAGTTTAATTAAAGATGATGAGCTGTGCCATTGTTCTAGATTCTCTCATGGTGACGTCTGTGTGAGAGAAATTTGAGCGCCAACTTTTTATTATTATAATATGATTAGATGGATTTATAATCTGGGTTTTAAGTTCCCATGACCACTGAGATCTCTCTGTTTATACTGCAGACAGAGGTGGTGACGATGGTTAAATTGAAAACCTTTAATACACCTGGGCACTGTGAGAAGGTAACAACCCTAAACCCTCACAAACAGGTGAAATCGTTTCTTTCATTTGGGTAAAGTTTGTCCAACGGCGAGATCACACGTCTCTGTACAAACAGGAGAAACACACAGAGCCAACAACTACAGCGACCAAAAAGTTTAGAAATATAAATGAAAATTAGCCCTGGCTGTTAGGGCTGGGCCATATCATACCATTCACGGTAATACCGGTATAATTTTGGGCAACAATAGAAAAATGAAATATCGTGATAGAATATGGGTAAAACGCGCATGCGCAGCTCCTTTGTTTTCATACGCACATGGTGGAAAAAGCATGGCGGCGAAAGTAGATCGTTGAATGAAACGGATGAACCAGAATTGCTTTGTAAAAATGCTGCAACTTCAGTGGTGTGCAACTGGTTTAGCTTTCGTCCGTCAGATACACAACAAAGCACTATTTTTGGTAGAGCGTGCTAGCGGGCCGTCGTTATTACCGTGTTTTTTGGAAAATACAGCACACTTAAAATCAATCCTTTGATTTTTCTGAAAATCAACAGTGCCCCTTATAATCCAATGGGCCTTATGTATGAATTCTGGTTGTGTTTACTGACCTCAAAACGATTTTATGTCGTACACGGCGCTCGAAAATCTGTCAAATGTTTTAGTACGACTTTGCTAAGCTACGAACCCGGACTGCTTGATGGATTGTCGGAGCATTACGGCTATCGTAGGCAGGAGCCTCGCGGAGTGATACGTACTGTGCTTCAACATAATATTACCGTATTGTGTGTGTATAACCTCTTTTTAAGTTTTGTGGATATTATGCATGGTTATGCTGAGGATATGTCGGCCAGTTTTCACTGGAAATGCCTTTTGGCTAAACTGACAGCAAGGAATTTACATTTGCACTGTTAAATTTTTATATGACTTTAATTCACATAAAACAGCTGCTTGTTTAAGTGAAAATACATTGATGGGGTTATTTATGCACTAATAAAGTTGAGGAGTTGTAAAGTATTTTGTCTAGTGTCAATTATATCGTCAGTTATATCGTTATCGCAAATTTTCAAATGTATATCGTGATAAATATTTTTGGTCATATCGCCCTGCTCTACTGGCTGTCACGTCATCCTCCTCAAACACTCAGATATGTGTTTCTGCTTCATACACTTTTATTCTTTTATGGTCTCTGCTGTTTTTTTAATCATCATCTTCCTGATTTTCTATGGTGTGTATTCTTGATTACAATCTTCTTGCTTCTGCATCCACTGGTTTTGCGGCTAACCTCTGTAGTAACTCAGGATTCAGCCTGAAGTGAAATGTGGTGAATAAAATCAGTCTGAACTGACTCGTGCTCATCCAGCAGCAGACGTGCTGGCTTGCTAATGGGCTGAGTCTTTTCGGGGTTAAACCTATTTTAAATGTAAATGGCGATTCCCTGCGAGAGCCGTCGCAGGTCGCCATCATTATTTCAGTCGTGTGTTTCTGAGTGGTGCAGCGACACAGGCTGAGGCGGCGGGGGGCCTCAGGCGCTCAGAGCGTGAAACCTGTGAGCTTCAACTCAGAGAAAAGAGGACGGCGTCATTATCGACAACAAGGCCGGCCTGTGGACAGTGGGGGGGCATGAAACGCGTTCAATATGTCACGCAGGCTGAATCACGAGCTATGAGCCTGACAACAACCAGCTCTTATTCTGCTAAAACCGAGCCTGCGGAATCAGAACAGGACAAGAAGTCGGGACTGAAGAAAGCCGACCCACCAGGAGGAAAACTGTCTGACCTCGGCCTCCAAACCTCATGAACAGAACTTTCCACAGATCAACAGAACACAGCCTTAGAACTGCATTCAAACTAAACATTTATTATTATCATTAATATTTATTTTATTACAATAATAATATTTTATATATAAAAACCAAGTCTGATGCAGGTCTGTCACCATATCCGATCATCACTACTCGATTATTATAGCCAAAATCATTAATATTAGTTAATTATTAGTTAACTGAACACAGAGTCTGTCTGTGTGTAGTGAGGCACAGATGGTTCATCAGTTTTTTTAAGAAGTGGTGCAGGCAGATTAAGAAACTGCCCGTCCATACAGGAACGTGCCTGTTTGATAGAAAACTCCTCAGGTTGGGTTTGGTTTATTCTGCAGCAGGAGTTCGAGGAAGCTTTAACATAAAAACTAAACGGCTTTTTAGGCTGAATCCTGCTGTCCTTCAGATCCGCCATCAGTCAAAGACCAGGACAAGAACTCTGTGGTGTAGATGTGGTACTGACTGAGGATCAGTGTGTCAGCCCCACAGGATAAAATTCAGGTGAGTCTGATTTATGACCCAGGGTGACCACGACCATCACTCTACTCTTTGAACTCTGGCATGGTTTGACCAAACAGTGATGGAACCATTCAGAGGATCCGTAATAATACTGGTATTAATTTTTATTGCTATTATTAAAGTATCATATTATGATATTAATGACATAGTGACATCATATTGTTATGTTGCCTATTGCAACAAGGAGTAGGAGATGCTAGCAGCTAGTAATGAGTGACCCACCGAGCACCGCTGCAGCGCTGGACTATTACAGTTACTGATCCACTCTTTGACCCAGAGACAGCTGCTCACTGGGACAGAAGGATGGAAAATGTCCTTGTTTCATTCGCAATAGTAAATCCTCCTGCCTGTGAGCTGCTTTTTTCCAATATCATCTGAAATATTATCACAATCTTCTGTGGAATATTGTGATAATATTCTGAGGTTATATCGTCCATTGCTAATGGAAACTCTGGCTTGTTGTTGGTGATGAACTTTGTGCGTGCCTCGTGCGTGCGTGCGTGTGTAGGGTTGGGGGTCTTTGTGCCTGACCAGCAGAGAGCAGCTGTGTGTTCGAACTCACTGGCAGACTGGACGGCCTCTCCTGTTGACTCAGACTCATCTCCTCGTGGTTTGGTTTCCCAGGAGTCATAGCGGCAGACTGGCCCCGGCCCCCGTAAGCTTCCTGCGGCACCTCCTGCAGGGTGACAGACAGACAAAGCATTTAAATCTTACAGGAACGAACGGCAAAAAAAAACAAAAACAAAAAACAAAGTCGCTGAAAGTTAGCCGTGTTTCGGGCAGCTGAATTTTAGTTTTGTCTTCTTTGTACAGCTCAGGTCTTTCTGTGTGGAGCCTGCAGGTTTCCTCTGTGTGCTCTGTTGGGTTGATGGTGACTTTAGATATGGCCTCAGGCGTGAGGCAGATGAAGTACATGGGATACTGTTTTCTATTTAAATCCTGTCTGAAGCCCCATCGGTGGCATTTTTGTGTTGATCGTGCGGTTGAAGCATCGTATTGGCCGGGACATTACGTCTTCCTCGGTGCATAAAAGTGGTTGTTCTTCACATTTCCTGATTTTGTTTAGTTGGATTTTTCATTATAGATGTGTTGCATGGGCCTAGTTAAGTGGTAAACATGGACACTGGCCACAGTAATATGTTGGTTTCCTAAAAGACCCAATCGCACCAATTTGTGTCAGTTTACAATTGCTCATTTGGTTTGACTGAGCTGTAGTCGTCTCTACATGAAGTCTGGATAAAGGTTAGCACCCAGTTTTCTTCTGTTCTCCTTTTTTAACTTATAATTAATAAATGGACTTGGTGAAAACCCGAGCTGAGCGGGTCTCCCTTCTCTGACGTGTCCTGAATGAGCCAGACGCAACAACCCATTCAGAAAAAATGAAAGACATCCCGCAATGCACTTGTAGCAGACCTCAGAGAAGTCCTGGACATCTCTCGGCTGCAGGTGGAGCTGTGGTAGCTGCTGGGAGTCTCAAAGCGCGGCTCCTGCTGCCTGCTGCAGGTCAGAGTCTCAGCTGCCATCTTGAGGAAGATGAAGATGATAAAACAGCAGCTGGAGGTTGGGGTTTCCCCATTGCCTGCAGCCAACTCCTTTTAAACACCATGAACGTCTGACATGGTTGAAGTGATCAGATAAAAAACAGACTCGAGGAGATGCGCTCTCTCTCTCTCTCTCTCTGTTTCATGTCTTCACAAAACCTTGTGTAACACGATCCTCTGAAGACAAAGACAGCCATGTTTGTGAAGAAAGACCAAATGAAGTAACACTTTAGGACAGAAACAGGACAGAAAGGATTGTCATTATCAGCAAATACAAACTAAATACTAAAGTTAATCTGGTCTTTTCAGAGAACTGAAGCTCAGCTCGATGCTTCCTTCATGGGAAAATTTCACAATAGAATCTGATGAGGATTTACCTCGTCGCTGTTTAATCCCACCCAGCTATGAGCAGACCCCAGTGGACAGATCAGGTCTCTGGAATGGCGTGCTAAAGTCTCACTAACGTGCTATCCCGTGGCCTGGAGAGTGGTAGGAAATGGATGGATGGAATTTCTTTCTATTAAATTTATCTATTACTTCTAATGTCTGTGCTCTTTTTGTTTTTTCCTGCTTAATTCCAGTTTGGATACTGTTTTTTGACTTCTGTAGAACACTTCATGTCTTTTTTAAGTGCTACAGAGACAAAAGTAAGTGGAGCTTGCTAGCTGAAGGCATTTCAGGAGCCATTCTGAGATGTTTTGAACTTGTGAGGCTTGGAGAGTCTGGCAGCTTAAAGCTCTCTGGAGGCCTCGAGCCATTTCCCCTCAGAAACATCCACACAGAAGACAGCCACACATCCACAGCAGCATCACAACTTCTTTTATATTTGACAGCATTATCATACAACTTTTCGTTTTCTTATCTTCTGATTTCTGGTTATATGTTGAAGCCTCTTTTTTATTTTTCACAATAAGAATCGTCAAGAGGTTCATTCCCTTCCCTTTACTCCTATAAAAGGCTCTTATTGTGAAAAGATGTGCAGGAATTTGAGTGAATTAACAGTGAAATCAGAAAGACAAAATAAAGTTTAGGTTTGTAATCCCAGTCCTACCTGCTGTGGCAGTGGGCGGGGCTGCATGTACGGTGGCTGACTGGGGGCGGCGGGTTGCTGCTGTGGCGGGCTGAAGTACGGCGGCTGGCCCGGCTGACAGTAACTGCTCATGTTCTGCTGTTGCTGCTGCTGGCTGTACTGAGAGCCCATCTGAGAAGAGACCACAGACATCAGAGACACAAGGCCAATCGATACTACCTTGTTAACACCACAAACACGAGGTTACGGCTTTGAATGGCCGATAGATTTCCACAGGCTAAACAGACAGAAAGACTCCAGGTCAGAAACATGAAGAGTGCAAAGAAATAAAACAAAATCAAATTTACAATTTGTATTCTTTTTACAATACAAATTGATACAAATTTACAATTTGTATTCTTTTTACAATACAAATTGATACAAATTTACAATTTGTATTCTTTTTACAATACAAATTGATACAAATACGTCTTTCCTTTGTACTGTTACAGTAAGCATCAGCACTGCTTTAAAGTTGAATGACTCTTTATTTTGTGAAAAATCATCACCTGCATTAAATCCATGCATCCATGCAGTATGCAGCATGGATGTCGACATTTTACTTCTATTTTATTGAACAAAAGGACCAGAGCGGACAGTAAAGTGGGAACTGCATCCAGGACAGAAACATCAGCATTATGCTACGCAGTGTATGCAGAACCCAGTCCAGCAGCCAGAGCCCAAACTCATCGGGTAACACGCCGATGAGCAGTCAGGCTGCGTTTCTACCTGGTCATGTTTCTAAAGTAGAATCACTTGGTGACTGCTTCGATCACACAGTGATTTTACTAACTCTGGAAAAATAAAAATTCTGCAACCGGTTGGTGACTGATTGCTAAATATTGGAGAACTGTTGCTAGGTGACATTAGCTGCCAACAGATATACAGCACTGCACTTGTGAGTACAGACTGCTGCAGTTACCTACAGTTTATATGGAAAAGGCCGATTTGTTGTGTTTCTAGTTTGTGTTTCAGTGTTTCGTCATGTTTAGTGAGTGTTTGCAGACAAGTCAGTGTCTTCTTACAAGCTCTGAGCGACCAGAGCAATCATCAGGACGTTTTTAGCACAGCACCGTCTGTTTGAGCAGCTTAACCCGGCAACAGCCAGCAACCACCTGGGGAGGACAGATTTTTCCCTAGTAAGCGAAGGTTACCAAGAGGTTGCTGAACAGTAGTTACTTCATATAAAGTTAAAATATAAAATTTAAAACACGATGCTGTGTTACTATAGATGCAGCTGCTCAGCTGTACAGAAGTTATGAAACGCATATACATATTAATTAATCATAATTATAATAATAATAATATCAAATATGTTTCTGCATAATCAGTACTTATGCATAAACTTATATTATAGAAGCAGTACTGAGACTCAGACTTAAGCACAGAGTCTGAACACTTCCTTCAGTGGCTCTTCCTCACAGACGCTCTCAGTTTAACTCTTGTGCAGCCTCCTCAAGACGCCCCCAGCCTTCACTGCTTTAGCTAAAGAGTCAATTAAAAGCCAAACAAAAGCATCTCTGTTCCTCTAATGATAATAATAATCTGTTCTGCTCTACAGTGAAGCCGCTCAGGAATCACACACCGCCCTTTTCCTGGAAAGCGACCTCTAAATTTAATTTCCTGAATATCTCAGACTTCCTCTGTAGATCAGATCTGTTCTCATACTGGAGGAAGCTTCCTCCGGTCATAGACTTCTGACCCCTGACCTCGTGTTTTGCAGCATCACAGGAGAACCACATGATGACCGTCAGTATGAGCCACATTTCCGATCTTTAACACATTCCTCCTCTTAGACCCAATCTGTCTGCTTCCAGATACGCAGAGTGAAGAAGAGGAGGAGGCAGATGAAAAGACATAAATTCACTGATTCAAACTGATCATCTTAATTAGGGCTGGGCTATATCATACCATTCACGGTAATACCGGTATAATGTTGGGCAACGATAAGAAAATGAAATATCGCGATAGAATATGGGTAAAACGCGCATGCGCAGTGCCTTTGTTTACATACGCACATGGCGGCGACGCAGAATGAGAAGAGCGAAAGTAGATCGTTAAATGAAACGGATGAACCAGAATTGGTTTGTAAAAATGCTGCAACTTCAGTGGTGTGGAACTGGTTTGGCTTTCATCCGTCAGATACACAACAAAGCACTATTTTTGGTAGAGCATGCCAGCGGGTTGGCGGCCGTTGTTATTACCATGTTTTTTGGAAAATACAGCACACTTAAAATCAATCCTTTGATTTTTCTGAAAATCAACAGTGCCCCTTATAATCCAATGGGCCTTATGTATGAATTCTGGTTGTGTTTACTGACCTCGAAACGATTTTATGTCGTACACGGCGCTCAAAAATCTGTCAAATGTTTTAGTACGACTTTGCTAAGCTACGAACCCGCACCGCTTGATGGATTGTCGGAGCATTACGGCTATCGTAGGCAGGAGCCTCGAGGAGTGATACGTACTGCGCTTCAACATAATATTACCGTATTGTGTGTGTATAACCTCTTTTTAAGTTTTGTGGATATTATGCATGGTTATGCTGAGGATATGTCGGCCAATTTTCACTGGAAATTCCTTTTGGTTAAACTGTCAGCAAGGAATTTGCATTTGCACTGTTAAATTTTTATATAACTTTAATGCACATAAAAAACAGCTGCTTGTTTAAGTGAAAATACATTGATGGGGTTTTTTTTGCACTAATAAAGTTGAGGAGTTGTAAAGTGTTTTGTCTAGTGTCAATTATATCGTCAGTTATATCGTTATCGCAGATTTTCAAATGTATATCATGATAAATATTTTTGGTCATATCGCCCTGCTCTAATCTTAATGCCAAACCAACCATCGTACTCCTCCTCATTAAAATTCATACCACCTTAAAAACCTGCTTTAAAATCAGATGTGTTGAAACTCATCCACACAGCTTCTCTCTCAGATTGTTATCTGGCTCGACGCAGATGCCGCAAAATGCAATATAATGCAACCTCGGTGCAACCCGAGAGAGCTGCAGCTGCGGGATTAACTGCCCGGCTCGAGAGCACTAAAGTGGGACAGAAGGCCGGTAATGTCTGCATAAATATCAGGAAGACTCAGACAGACTTCAGGCTGCACGTGGACTCTGAAAGCCTGGACGGGCCTTTAAGCGACCTCACCTCCAGCACATTGTTTGATCGAGAGCATTTCCTCACCAGCATGTCCGTCAATACTGCAGCTTCACTGAAACAGAGATTACAGTCGGAGTTCATGCTCTAACAGTAACTCGGTAACCTCCTGAAACCAGGTTGAGTCTGCGGCGCTCAGACAGGGAAGCCAAGGGTCAAATTTTGTGTGGAATCAGAGAATTAATAAAGAATAGTCCCGGGGCCACTTGGGCCTTGCGCTCCCATGAAACTCATTACTCTCTCTCTCTGCGTAATCAGACACAACAGCGGCGACACAAAATCCCTCAGGCTTAAACCATCTGCAACAATAATGACACCATCCAGCCCGAGAGTCGGAGGGAGAAACACCTGCAGGTGCCTTCCTCACAGCTCTGAAACCAATCAGGTTCTTAGAGCTTGTAACAGAAAGGTGAGACGAAGCCTGAACTGAAAATTCACTGACTGAAGCTGAACATATATCTTATAAGGAAGAGAAACCCAACTTGAGAACACACAGGTTCAGATCGGAGCTCAACGGCCTGACAACAGCGCAGAGGCCGAACCACAAGATGTTTCCACCTTCTCCGCCTGCTGGAAGATTCAAACCAGCACAAACAGGTGCAGACTTCCAACAGCTGAACCACGGAGGACAATTTCAGACTCTTACTGTCCTCAGAATTAGATTCAGGCCCAACAGTGATGAAACCTGAAGAAAGGTTCTGTGGCTCACAGCAGCAGGTTCAGCCAGGCTACACTCCTCCTTGTCCTGCTCACAGGCACAGTTTCAAATTTTCAACTTTAATGTCAGAAAAAATAAAGTTCACACATGACTACACAGCAGCTCCAATCTTCAGCAAAGACTGAAACAACTTCCCGTTGTAACTTTTCAAATTAAAAGTTCCTCATCTTCTGGGTGAAGACTGAATCACTGTCAGTCTAACAAAGCTACTTTTCTAAAAACTCTTCTGTTGACTGGGACTTTTTATCTCCTTATCAAATACCAGAAAACTACAGAGCTCACATGGACTCACTGCAAGTGTTAGGACCTGACATGTACAGATAAACACTTGCTGAGTGTTTTAGTTCTTTATTCTTCTCTGAAAGCTTTAAAATCCAAAGTATGTGTGGATGAATTCAGCGATGGCTGATTATTATTAACCCATCATCACTGGGACAGACAGATTTATTCTACCTCCTGATTCATTCGCTGAGAAGAAGCTTCGCCGTCTGTTGCTCTCTGTGGCATTCGGCGGTGTTTACCCACCAAAGGATCCAGTCTGCTCTGAGCTGCAGCGTCAGACCCAAACTGGAGTCTAAAAATAGCCTGAGCCCAGGGTGTACCAGAAATAGCCTGACCCGGACCGGCCCAGCAGAAGCCGTGCGGTCTGACTGCATCAACAGAGGCCTTGTCCACAGTGACAAAACGGTGACGCTGCAGATGAATCAGCACCAAGGGAACGAAGGCCTTAGTTTCCATAAACCAGCTCAGAGGCTGCTGAAGACCATCAGAGCAGGAGCAGGGACGGCAAACTCACAGGAGATGTTCTTATTAGTCATCCTGGGAGGACATTAACAAGCCAACAGTCTGCATGTTAATGAGTATCTGGTTAATGCTTCACACGTGTATCCTAATGTGGAGAGTTACAGGAAGCTCCCGGGTCCTCTGGCCTGTAGTAAAGCAACCTGATCTCTACAGAAATCAGAGTTTTACATATCAGCCTGATGCTGCTCTGCAAACATGTCTCACCGCTCTGCAGCCACAATGAAAGCACTGATTTGGGCACTGATCAGGTCTATTTTACCTACAGTAACCAACCCCAGACGAACACCACCACCCACCACATTGGGCTGCCTCGCACTCAGATTTAACAGTTTTCCAACATCACGTAAAGTCATGAGAGTTATAATGACTGAAAGAGTGAGGTCACAAACACGAGCTCCTCCACAGAGGCAGGCTTAGGAGCTCAGAGGAAAGCTCCTGCTCCTCCATGTCGAGATGCTGCAGAGACAGACGTCTGCATTACCCGCTTAACTTCAGGCAGGTGGGAGATCAGGAAGGAGGGTGGAGTCAGATAACTGGCAGGTTTCACCCCAACATGAAGGTTTTTAATTGGGAACTTTTGTCTATACAAATTCTCCCACAGTGTGCAGCTCAGGATCCTTTCAGCGCCGTAGGTCAACCAAGCATCCTGGGTGGATTTAAGGGACCAGTTAAACTCTGCATAAACTCATCAAATCATTTAAATTTTAAATCCCATCTTAAATGTATTTTTATCACCTTTCCAGTAATTTCAGGGAAATTGTAGATTTCTATTTTTCATTATCTGAAGATGGTCTTGATGCTGTTATACAACTAAACTGCTTCTAACTGGCCAGTGCAGCCACAGAAAGAAATGAAAGCCTGTAAATTACTGATAAGCATCACTTATTTACTGTGACAATAAAAAAAGTAAAGCTGAAGACTTTCAGGTGTCTGATTTATGATCAGATTTATGGATGTTCAGTTTTATTGACGTCAGATTCTGTAACTGCAGAGTTTGAAATCCCACCCAGAACTACAAGTTAAATTAAACTAAAGAATTATTTTACATTAATTCGTCCAAATGGAACCTTAAAGACACATCTGAGCGCCTCCTACCTGCTGCTGAGGATACTGCATCCCTCCCATTCCCACCTGCCCCCTGCTGGACATCCCCATCGGGTATCTGTGGGGGGTAGGGGAGCCGTAGGGCTGTCCAGGGTACGGCGCCCCCTGTTGCTGGGAGTACGGGTTGTTGCTCATCCCGTATAGTTGAGAACGCTTCATCGCCATCGGGTCCATGGGCGGCACCTGAGGAGGAGAACACGGTGGATAATTAGTGACACCATGAACTTAACACCATGTTTAAAGACACAACACGTGACTCTGATTCATCAGTGTGACAAACCCTCTGATGACTACAGAGCAATGACATCATCAACATTCATATTAGTAAGACTGAGGAGGTACTGCATCTTTCTGTTTGTTTCCACTATGAGAAATCCAAACTGTCCGTTCATCAGTTTTCTTCCACCATTAGCTCAGTCTTCTATATCCATCAATATCCATCTATATATCCATCCGTCTGACTGAGCACGCTCACACTGATGGACCGATGGAAAGTTAAATATCTTTATATATAAGCTCCACTCTGTGTGTCTGCTTCGCGGCTTGGCCTACTGCCACCTGCTGCAGATAACACACCACACATTATCCTAGTAACTTACCCACTGATATGGTTTGTCTGTTTTCACTGAGGTTCATGGCATGTGCTCAGGTGTGAGGGGGTCAGGTGTGTCTCTGAGAGTGAACCCTCATCTGCGGCATGCTGAAGGCCTGCGAGGCCACTTTAAGCCGGAGTCAACAGTCACGCCTGGGTACACTTTAATATTCACACTCACTCTGTATTTGACACACTGACATAATAATAGTAGGTGAGAGGAGTGACTCAGAGAGAACAGATGTTTCGCCGCCGCTCCGGCAGCTAAAAATAGAAACCGCTGACGGATTTTACGCTTAAAAAAAACTGATGCAGACTTTTAATCCTGTCCTTTAATCTCCACTCACTACACAGCAGTCAGCTGAGCAGAGTAAATAAAGAGAAACCTCAGGCTGGAGCGCTGCCAAGCCCACACAGCTGCTTCAAGTCAGGCAGAGGATCAGTGCAGAGGATCCACAGACCGAGGCCACGTCAGAAGCAGCTGATCCATTTTCCTGAGTACTGCTATCATCACGACCCTGGCCCAAACTGCAGAACGTGTGTTTTATTTGGACAAACCTTTGGTCAACGCAACATTTGTAGTATTTAGTGTTTTACTGGCTGATTTCTTGTAATGGAGGCTGATGGGAATTGTTGGAAAAAGCAGGAAAAAGATTAAAACTCAATGGGGTGCTTCATCCTCCTCTGTTGCATTTGATCCAATATGGTGGCGGTTAGCCATTATAAATTTTAATCATCAAAAACCAGCAAATAAAATCACTGAACACAAGTTTAATTTCATATATCGTAGATTGGGACTGGCTAACAAACGGGTGGGTGTGGCCAAATCAAGTCAAAAAGAGACTACGAAAATAAAACGGCTGATAGTCAGCGTGTTTTACCACAAGGTGGCGCTCAAGTAAGATAACATTGCTCAGTACAAATCACATTAACTCAAATACCCTGCAGACCACAGGCATGTTTAATATAATGAATAATATGACCCAGAGATAGGCCACAGTAGTGCCACCATGTGGTGTGGTACAGAACTGCTTTAATCTCAGGAGGTTTGTCAGGAATCGCAATTTTCTGTTTTTTTTCTATTAAACATACAAAACTGCATCACATCGAGCCTGCACCTTTTTCCAGTCAAACAGCCCAATTTTACTCCCAGAACATCAAATTCTGCCGTTTCATCTGAGCCATCAGCATCTCACAGAAACACGCAGTCATTATGATTTATCGGGTTTATGTCGATAAATGTCGAGTCCCTCACTTCCACTTCATCATGTACCCACTGACGTCACATTTAAACACTATAGATCAGCATCATTAACACGCAGGGTTAATACTGCAGAGGCGTGTTTTAACCCAAACCACGTTTCCTAAAGCTAACCAAACAGTTTTTGGAGTCTACGATGCCGAGAACAAAGCAAACATAATAAGGGACAAACTGCAGCCTTCTCACTCACAAGCTTATAACCTACAACACCATCAACGTTCCATCCTTCTTACTGGGCCCGGGCCATATCATGGTAATACCGGTATAATGTTAGGTAATGATAAGAAAATGAAAAATCGCGATAGAATATGGGTAAAACGCGCATGCGCAGCGCTTTTGTTTTCATACGCACATGGCGGAAAAAGCATGGCGGCAACGGAGAATGAGAAGGGCGAAAGCGGATCGTTGAATGAAACAGATGAACCACAAATGGTTTGTAAAAATGGTGCAACTTCAGTGATGTGGAACTGGTTTGGCTTTTGTCCATCAGATACACAACAAAGCACTATTTTTGGTACAGTACAAGCGGGCTGTTGTTATTACCGGTATTACTACCCGGCGGGGTAGAGAAACAGATAAAATCCGAGGAAAGAGCTTTATTTACCGGTGACCCCTCAAAACACATCATTAGCATACGCGAACTGTCAGATTTGAGCGGAGCTGTCAACCGTCAACCCTGTCACCATTTAAACCGCGATCTTTTCAAGTGTAACAATAAAACTGATTACAGCCACCCAGTTTACATTTTTATATATATTTATAACAAATTCGACCTCTTATAAAATCAGCAAGCTGCCTACTTTCACACACGAAGGCCTTTGCCGTTAACGACAGCTATATGCTAATGATAGCTTAGCCTAGCGGGCTAAAAGCGAAGTCACCTTGGACACAATCGAAAACTTCCCCAGCTTCTGTCATCACGAACAGTCGCCAATGCTTGTCATTTATAAAAGCAAGTAATCACACAATACAATTTGTTTGCTTTAGAGTCCTAAACGACTCACGTGGGTGCGGTGCTTAATTAATGAATCTGTCTGCAGTGAAAATTAAAAAAAAAGAAAAACACACACACATCTAGCTTAGCAGCTAGCTGCCGTTAGCTATTTGGGTTAGCATCGCGGCTGTTAGCAGCTAGCAGGTTACCGGTGGTGCGATGTCCACCTGTCATTAGTCAGGTTATAAACGGTGTTAATAAGCTGTTATTCACCAATTTTAATGGTTTTATTTGGTGTTCTCAGTTACTAACAGAAGACCCAACAATTAAACTATTTTAAACTTTAATATCTGAAAACACAGCCAACGTGTGTGTGACTCCTGCATGTCAGTCATCCGATCACCAGCTCCATAAACCAACACATTAGCTCAACTACAGGAATAAACTCGTGTATGAAATGTGCAGGCTCTGAGGCGCTGCCCTAAAAGTCTTTATTTCAACTAGAAAACAAAATCATAAAATCATGCTCCACAAGGAGCGTCCACACAGGCTGAGGCCGGCAGTGAGGAGGCGGATAGAAACGACAAAGCAGAGCTGGCCGATCTACAGCAGAGATATTACAGTTTCTATTTTCCTTAGTATTTATTCTGATTTCAGTTTTTATATAAGTTTCGGGAGGTTTACAGAGTGAAAATGTTTAGAGTTTGTCCTCAGCTGACTCAGAGTCCGTAGACGAGGACAAACACACAACATCTGCATTCATTTCATATTTCACCTCCTTTTAGTTGGGTTTATTGAGCTGCTGTAACAGTAATTTCACAACTTTTTAAATTTTTATTCTGCTAATTAAAATGCTGACTGCCACCTAGTACTAGTTTTAAGTTTAGTTATAATACGATATATGAACCTCGGCCCTTTTGAGACAACAAATGAGAGGAGAGGATTGTGCTGACTGCCATATCAAAGTCCAGTACACCAACTGAGAAGCAAAAAACCCAGATAGATTTTATTCCGGTTCACTAAATAACCTGGCCCTCTTTGTTCAGTCTTTGTGGGTGCAACGAATTCATTCTTTCTTTTTTGTGTAACACAGTGTGATTACACAAATCCTCATTTCTGTTCAGGGCATCAACACGTGGAATTAAAACTGAAACAAATTTAAAGAGGAATCAGTCTTGTTGCCTCGTGTCATCCTGTACACTGAGCTGTGCTCTCCCATCTGCCTGCAAGTTAGAGTTTCTTCATGTAAGCACGTATTGCATCATATTTTCCAATGAGCCAACACACAAGTTTAGCTAATTGAACCTGATCTCAGACACAGGAGCAGACAGTTTGCTGACAAAGATTTCTACCTGTGAAAAAAAAAAAAATTGTGCATGGTTCATCGTTTCTAACAAATAACTGTGTTCTTGTCCCCATTCAGAGGAGGTAACGGATGGTGGTTAGTGAATGATAATTATTCACTAAAAACACATTTTATTAAAACAGAAGCTGATTTATTGAGTAGCTGAAAAATTCCTTGTTTGCATCCAGTCAAATGATCCTGAAAATAAATTAAGGGATCATAATTCCATTATTCAATGGTGACTTAATCACCTGCAGACCGGCATTTCCATTGTTTTCTGCTATTTTAAAGACCTGCTAATAATTCGAAATAATAACCTGTCGATTATTCCATAAAGAAATCATTTTTTAAAAAAAAGATCTTGTGAGTCTATTAACTGCAGTTAAACCGTGACTCTGACGAGCTTCTACAGTGCACCGCCGGTCCAGGTAAAGTGACACTGACATGGAGTAGGGATGACCGGGGTTGAGGCCTCCTGCAGGCCGGGCTGCAGCGGCGGGTCAACCAGTGTGTTAGCCCCAGTGTTGTGCCGGTGGTGATGGGCACATGGCTAATCTGCATGAGTGAAGGTCAGGGCTCCCGAGCGGAGATGGGGCTATTAATAGGCTGCCTGCCAAGAAAGTTGTGGCCGGAATCAGAAGCTGAAGTGGCCGCTGTTGCAGGACGAAGCGTCACCTGATTAGACCCGAGTCCCCGCCACACTGTCTTCTCCCGGCGGGGTAGAGAAACAGATAAAATCCGAGGAAAGAGCTTTATTTACCGGTGACCCCTCAAAACACATCATTAGCATACGCGAACTGTCAGA